TTTACCCAGTACAGTCTTATTTATTTATCTTACAAACACGTACGTAGCCCTTTCAATGTGTTGGACACCGGTGCTCAGGGCTTTCCCAGTATTAACTCATTTAATTTTCCTAACAGTCTTATCGAGTGGATCCTAATGCTACTTTAACTTGGAGATGGGGAAACTGGGCACAGTACCCTGTCTGGTAACCAGTTCATTGCTCAGTGATAGCTACTGTTTTAGAAAAAGCTTGGACTCCCCCCCTGCCTTCCAGAAAGAGCTGCTGCAGGTAAGAGCCTGCTTGGACGAGGTGTGGAGACAAGCAGCCGCTCTGGTCCCGGTGGAGGGTTGATGAGGTCTGTGGCTGAGTTTCATCACCATTATAATATTTTTATCAAGCAAACTGTACTTCAGTTCAGCAGATGACGTAACTCTAGACTGTCCTCATTGGATTTGCATCGTTTGGGATCTTGTATATCATCAGGAGAGAGCTTAATAATCAAGCTGTACTGCTCATTGACAAAGGGAAATAAACGCAGGGGACGACAACAAATGTTGAAATTATCTTGGCAATACAGCTTTATGTATTTATCTTACAAATTCAGAGAGAGAGAGAGAGAGAGAGAGAGAGAGAGAGAGAGAGAGAGAGAAAGAGAGAGAGATTGATTGAGATTGGTTGCCTCCTGTACATGCCCTGACCGGGGACTGAACCCACAACCTAGGTATGTACCCTGACGGGTCTGGTCTCTTTTAGATCCCTTTTTGCATTTTGTGTTTATAGGCTTTGGTATCATCTTACTACACTGAGTCAGTCCCTAGTCTTCTAGCTGCCTGGGGGGCAGGAGGCCATGTCCCTTCCCAGGTCCTGCCCCCCAGTGCCCAGTGCAGGGCCGGCGTGCGGGGCCCTTGCAGACGCGCTGTGCGGACCCCCTTCCATGAAGCCGGCTGAGCTCCAGGAGCAGAGACCATGCCCACCCGCCCCCCCAGCAAGTTCCCAGTAGCCAGCACAGCGGCTGGCCCTGGGCAGGTGCCCAATGCCCAGGTGCAGAAGGAATGAGGGGTGGGTGCCAGGACCCCCGGTCACCTGCCCCGTCCGGGCCCTCTGCAGAATGTTCGCGGCCCGGAAAGAAGCCGCGCTACTGGCGGTTCTCCATGGACTGCACGGGCACGGAGGCCCACATCTCCAGCTGCAAGCTGGCCCACAGGTGACACGGGACCCCGTGAAGACGTCACCTGTGAGAATGGGCTGCCGGCGGTGGTGAGCTGCGTGCCTGGCCAGGTCTTCAGCCCCGATGGACCCTTCGAGATTCCGGAAAGCCTACAAGCCAGAGGTAAGGATGGGGCAGGAGTCTGGCCAGGGGGCGCCTGGGTGTTGGGGGTGGTGGTGGCTGTTAAGGGAACAGACAGGGATCCCCAGGAGAGAGTGAGGAGAGCCAGCCCCAACTCAGACTCCCTTTCTAGAGGTCAGGGCCGGCCTCACCGACAGCCACTTCCAGGTGTGACAGGCAGCTGGGCTCCTGCCCCCAATCATTAGCACCCCTTCCACCACTACCGCCCCACTCTGAGACCCAGTCCCCTCTGTGAGACAGATACCAGGCGAGCGGAGTGCCTGGTTACCCACACGGTGCTTCTGCACAGCCCCTGGAGCACAAAATGCTCTAGGGCTTTTGGAAATGCGCTACAACACTCAGAAGCACGTGGCATGAGCTACAAAGGTTTTCAAGCATATTTTGGTTTATTTTGCAACAGAAAGGATTACAATTTTTAAAAGCTCACACAAAGATAGGAAATGAAAACCTGCCATTACCATACGTATGTTTGTGCACCAGCACCTGTGAGTGTGTGAGTGTGTGAGTGTGTACATGTGTGTGCATGCGTATGTGAGTGTGTTCAGAGATGGAACTGGGGAGGGCAGTGGTTCTCAGAATTATCAACAGTCCTCCTGGGTAGCTCTTATACTAATTAAAGAGTAATATGCTAATTAGACCGGGAGACCTTCCGGACTTCCTTCTGGACAAAGCCATGGTGGTGGGGCCGAGGCAGAGGCGGTTAGGGGTGATCAGGCCAGGAGGGAAGGGCAGTTGGGGGCAAGTTTGTGGGGGGGGGGGGGGGGGCACAGTTGGGGGCTAGCAGGCCAGCAGGCAGAGTGGTTAGGGCAATCTGGCAGGCAGGCAGGTGAGCGGTTAGGAGCCAGTGGTCCCGGATTGTGAGAAAGATGTCCGACTGCCGGTTTAGGCCCG